AAATACAAGGGACAGCATGTATGACAGGAGTGGGGAAAATGTGGCTCTCCAGATGTTGTTGGTCCAGTATTCAGTGTGTCTCCCATTCTTCCCAGCCCCGCTGAAAGAGGCGGTCATTAAACTGCTTCTTAAAAAAAACATCCCTGGACCCGGCCAATATGGCCAACTATTGCCAAGTCTCAGATCTTCCATTCTTGGGCAAGGTGATTGAGCGAGTGGTGGCTGAACAACTCCCGGCATGCCTGGAGGATGCAGACCATTTGGATCCCTTCCAGTCGGGATTCAGGCCTCATAATGGGACTGAAACTGCCTTGGTCGTGCTGGTCGATGATCTCTGGCAGGCTAGAGACAAAGGTGAGAGCTGTTTCCTAGTTCTGCTGGATCTCTCAGCAGCTTTTGATACCATTGATCATGACATCCTTCTGGACTGTCTAGAGGAGCTTGGGGTACTGTTATACAATGGTTCTACTCCTTCCTCCTGGGCCGTGTCCAGAAAGTGGTGTTGAGGGATGAGTGTTCAGACCCCTGGGCTCTCACTTGTAGGGTGCCTCAGGCTTCCATCCTCTCCCCCATGCTTTTTAACATCTACATGAAGCCACTGGGAGAGATCATAAGGGGGTTTGGGCTGGGTGTTCATCAGTATGCAGATGATACCCAGATCCACCTCTCTTTTAAATCAGAACCAGTGAAGGCGGTGTGGAGGTGGTTGGAGGATGGATGGTGGCTAACAGGTTGAGGTTGAATCCTGACAAGACAGAAGTACTGTTTTTGGGGGATAGGGGATGGGCGGGTGTGGGGGACTCCCTGGTCCTGAATAGGGCAACTGTGTCCCTGAAGGACCAGGTATGCAGCCTGGGAGTCATTTTGGACTCACAGGTCAATTCTGTGTCCAGGGCATCTGTCTACCAGCTCCAACTGATATGCAGGCTGAGACCCTACCTGCCCGCAGACTGTATTGCCAGAGGGATGCATGCTCTAGTTAGCTCCCGCTTGGACTACTGCAATGCGCTTTACGTGGGTCTACCTTTGAAGGTGACTTGGAAACTGCAATTAATCCAGAATGCGGCAGCTAGACTGGTGACTGGGAGTGGCTGTCGAGACCATATAACACCAGTCCTGAGAGATCTGCATTGGCTCCCAGTACATTTCTGAGCACAATTCAAAGTGCTGGTGCTGACCTTTACAGCCCTGAATGGCCTCGGTCCTGTATATCTGAAGGAGCGTATACCTGGCCTAGCTGATGATATAGTGTGGCCTTGCAAAGTCTGGAGGCATTTCCTCCCCTACTTCCATGGGTGGAGTCAGGGACTGACTGGGGAGGGACCTAGTGATTTGTGTTCAGATCATTGGACCTGTCTCCCACCCTTCAAACTTATACTTGCAGTTGTCCCACAGCCATCTCAGAAACCACTGTTGCCATCTATGGGGAGAACCCTGAAGGTTTGGTTAGAGTCTTGGTCGTCTCTCATTTATGTAGCTCTCTGGATTGCTGCCTGAATGATGCTGACTAATACTGTATGGACACTGCTGCTGCACAGCTGCTCAGTGGGTGTAGGAAAGCGGTTGTGATGGCCTGGGAATCCGATTCAGAGGGTGAACCGGAGGAATCCCAGCCTGCACAGGAGTCCCCACCTCCAGGGCCGGCTGAACTGGCAGGGCCTTGATTCTGAGGCGCCTGCACCTGTGCCGGATCCTCAGGAGCAGGCACCAGGTGAATCCATTCTGGCTCCAGAGGTGGTTGAGGACTCAGTGCCTACAGGTGAGTCTCCCCCTGGGCCCAGTAACCCTTCAGCCTCTCCTGAACTGCAGAGGCTCAGGGCAGAGAGGCGAAGGGAACTGGTTTCTCCCAGGAGGAGTGCTCACCTTAAGGCCAGGAGAGGTGGGTCTCCTGGGGGCCGGGACCGCCCCTGGCCTCAGAGAAGATAAAGGCCAGTCAGCCCGGTCCCAGGTTGCGGGAGCAATGTCGTCGTTGAGTACCTGCTCCTGTCTGGACCCAGACCTGACCCTCCAGTGTTCCTGTCCCCGCTTGGCTTCCTGCTTCGGACCTCGCCCCGCTCCTTGCAAACTATTTCCAGGCTAGTGACCCAGACTTCGACTACGTCAACGGTAACCTTCCCCCCGGGACCAGCACAGCGGTTGGAAGATGGCCAGTGTCCTTCAGTTCCTGGCTTCATATGCCTCTTGTGGCCTGGAAAAGTGCCTGTCCTTCTTCTTCTAGCGCTCCAGAACACCACTTGTATAGCAAGGACTGGGTGTTTATTGCTGGTGTTTTCAAGTGTAGAGAAGTTAGGATGAAGGGGTCCACTGTTTTCAGGCTCAGCTTTTATTTATCTGGCCTGTTGGACTTCTGGGAAGAGAGTTGGAACTGGAGTGTGAGCATTTCATCATCTAATCTTCCCTTTGTTGTCTTCCCTTTTACTTTCTTTATTGTGATTCTCATGTTAGATACCTCTCACCTTGAGGCAGGAAGTCAGCTGGCCTGGATGTCATGGTGGGAGTTGCGCTTCAGAAAGATTCTGGGGACTGTTTTCTGGTCCCAGAACATAGTTCCTTCCCATCTAGCTGATCTTGTTCACTTGTAAAGAACAGAAATTCACTGTTAAGTATGGAATTTTGTTTTTGCATAGTATTCCATTTTCTTATATACAGTTTTACAGTCCTGTGTTATATTGTGAAATTGTCAGTTAGAATTCCTAGGGCATAATCTAGTTAAAGTTAAATACTCTTTGGTCTCACTGATTTCAACAGATTTAACATGTGCTTAGCTCTCTCACTGAAATAAATAGGATGTAAAATGCATAACTGGCTGGATTGCACCCTAAAGACTGTTGTGATTCCCTCCTCTTGGGACTATTTGTCAGTACAAATAATCCAATGTGGGATAAATCCAGTATTTTTCAATTTCAATTTGTGTAAATTATATTGGAGAAATAATGAGATAAAACTGACATCTTTCTGGCAAAATAAATTTCATTTAAATTTGAACAGTTTATCTCTTTTCTCTACATCTACCTTAAGTTTTTATTGTAAGAGAAAGTGTTATGAAATAAAATACGGACTACCAGGTACCGCCATGTAACTGCTGACCTTATCACAATAAATTGAGTTAACCTCCTCTTCCTCAAATAAATATTATGGCAAAATGACATGGTGCTTTAAAATAAACATTACATCTTATCATTGCTTTTTGTGTTGCAGAAATGGGAGAATTCTCAGTTGTTAATCCTAATTTTCATGTTCAGTTCTGTTCATTTTATCAAGCTGTGGCATGGAGCCAATATTAGTATTTGGAATATTTGAAGTTTTGATTTCTACCAGAAATTAGGAATTGTGCCTCTGAAATTTGATTGCCACTTAATTTTCCACTTTCTCTAGATTCTTATCCCATAAATTGAAGTCATCTAGAGATTATTATGCTACAATCCTCTTTACCTGTTAACTCTATTATTTGAAGGAACATTTAGTGTCGTTGTGGTTTAGTTGTTTAGTTGTGTCCGACTCTTCGTGACCACCAAAGCACGCCAGCACATTTAGTGTAGTTTTGTTAATTGCATTGCTATATTTATTTGCAGGTTTCAGTCAAATAACTTCATATGCCATGTGCTTTACTTCTAGGGGTGTAGAATTTTTTTTTAGTGGGGTGTATGTGTTGCCTTCAAAGGGGACAATATAAATACAGCCTATTAAATTATTTACTGAAGACAGTTGGCCAATCCATTGTTCAAGGAGCCAAAGGTCATTTTGGTGTGCCTAGCTGATTCATAGGTAATCTGATACAGTACTTGGCTGTTTGTTTCCCAGGCAGACGATGAACTTTATCCTTCCATTATGAGTCACACAACTGTAACTTTACAGGGGAGAAGGAATTACTTCTGAAAGGTGCTGAAGAATACGTATGCATGCTGAAGTAATGATGTCTCTCATGAGACAACTATTGCACCATAACCGATGGGACTTCTTTGCCAGAAATGCATTTTTTTGTCTTTAGCTGTTTTTTGTCAAGTTTGCTTTGTTTTGAATTAAAAACACAGGGCCTGTAGTCCTGGAACTAGTCTTGCACAAGAGGATTATTATTGGTTTATGTGAATGGAGGGTGGGGTGGGGTTATTGGTTCTGTTCTCTTCTTGTTTTTATTATGTACTGTATTTTGTGTTTTTTATCTTCTCTTTTTATGTTGTGAAGCACCCTGTGGTGCATCTGTGGATGAAAGGTGGTATACAAATTTAAATATTGATAATAATGGAGTCAACTAGTGTTGGTTTCTCGTGCTTACAGAGTGAATTGGTATCATGTATTGTGGTTTATGGGGTGTCTTCAAGGAGTTCCTTTTTGAGCTATAGTGCTTTTGTTGACAAAACCCCTAAATATAAATCTATTAGCTCTGTGAGATCACATTCTGAGAAAGTGGTCAAAATCATTGGCTCTTTCATGGGGGGATGGGGTACATTGGAATTTTGTGGTGTTTTCTCACTCTTTTCATGCAGACTTCCTCCAACAGTTTCAGGAAAACTGAATACAATGTACTGTATAGAATTCAGTAGTTAATTTGCTTTCTTATCAAACATTTAATCTTAATTTAACAATGGCAATCCTATCTGTGTGCTTCTGTAATGAAAAGCGAAGGTGTTTAAAACATAGCATAAGTGAAATTTGTAATAGGAAAGTATAGGAGAAAAGTCATGTATGTAACTGTATATTGAAAACTTCCTGTTTGTTTGTAGCTCTTGTTCTCACCGCCAGTAAAACTAGCAGTGTTTTACAGACTTACAACATCTCTCCTATGTGTAATGTATGCCCATTGTAAAATAAAACATCATGTGCCACTTAAATTTGAGCTTTTTATTGCTCCTTGTATAAGTTGGCTGAGGTGCCCTTGAGTTATCTACCCTGCTCAGAAGTTTGTATTGCTGTTAGCTGTCTGCCACAGAAAGGAGGAGTTTGCTGCTTCTACAGCTGTGCCTTGGGGGGGGGGGAGAGAGAGCCTATCATATTTCACCCTAATCCTAAGCGATTGCTTTAGCCAGCCAGTCTCTTTTATTGTTAAAGAGAATCCTTCTGAAGATTGTTCCCCAGGCTTTTCATTTAAGGGCAAACAGGACTGATCGACTAAAGAATCAGAATGGCAGTGCCATTTCCTTGCAGAAAAGAGAAAGCTGTTCCAATTTGTATCCTGGTCTGGCAACTTGTTAGCAGCATGTACATCTCCCTGATCCAAGAAGCTGGTTTTTTTGTTTAAAGAAAATGTGATAGAAGAGAAGGCTGGATTACAAGCATATCGGTGGAGAATGTTACTGAGCAGAGGAGATGGACTTTGGTTGAAACCTGGAAAAAACGGAAAGCTGTGTCCCTCGGTGTTGTGCTCCTACACAATCCTCATCTGAAGGTTGTTTTCAGGGTGCCGTGGTGTTTTTCTTTCTTCCGCTGTGTTTTGTTTGGCAGCTCACAAAGTACTGTAGGCAGAAGCAGCCTCCAGGAATTGTACAGGCACAATCGCTTGGTTCTGTGCGCCATGCAGATTTAAACAGTGCATGTGTTTTCTGTAAGTTTAAAGAAACATGGTTATTTTATATTAGATAAAAAGAAAAAGGAGAAGGCTACGAGGGTGGTTTTGAAAGTTGCATACTCCAGTGGATTTATTTATTTTTTGGGGGGAGAAATGAAAAAAGAAAGTGCCTCAAAGTCATTCCGGTTTAAACATAATCCAGGATCCCTCTCGCGTGCTGTGAGCTGGATAAACTTCTCTACCTTGTCCAAGCAGACAAAAAGGCTGTTTCGCAGCGATGGTGAACTCACATCTATATGTGGGCAGCAGGTAGAAGAGGATGAGAGCTGGACCTACAGACCCCAGCACAGAAACGGTGATTTATTTATTTTGTTTTCAAATATGCAGTTAATCATTTAATTGTATTATTGCTTATTATCTTTTACTTAATTAAATCCCTTCCCCCTCCTTCCATTTTCCCCACATGCTGCCTTTCATTTGACCTTTTGGTTTCCGTGGCAAGTGTTTCCTCATAGTGTATCCCTCTGCTTTGTAGTATGCTACTCAAAGCCCTCATTCCCACCAATCGGAAACAGTGTTCTCATATCAAGGCTTCTTAACATGGCAGCTGTATTGTGATAACTGTCCAGCCCACAGCAAGGAGTTGCATAGAGATTTACAACTGTATAAATGGGTTAAAACAAAGCAGAACTATGGTTTTGCCAAAGTAATTTATTTTCCATACATTTTTGGGGTGCAGGGGGTGGTGGTAGGGCTAGATGGATATGTGTAGAACAGAGATGAACAGAAAGCTTGTGCACGTAAGGGTGGGTGTCATAAAGCAAAAGGTAAAAAGGATTTCCCCCCTTTTCCACCTGTTGTAGGGGCATGAAATGTGCTGCAAGGCGGGAAGAAGGGAATGGGCATGTATATGTTGATAATGGTGATGACATAGCAGTAGTAGCTGCTGATCTGCCTGTATTTTGCTATGCAGATATATCATATATTCTGTGCATTTCTGCAGATAGTGAAATAGACTTTTCACACAGTACAACCCTGCACACTTATCACCAGAAGCACCCACTCATGTTGTATCATACTGTTGTGGTGCACTCAGCTTACGGGGACTTTATCAACTGATCCTCCTCCTAGTCCCTTCTCAAACCCTGGCTATATACTTCTATCTTACTAATCATATGTATTTTGGAAGTATGCCCGATATTTAATCAGAAACTGGCAGTACAGATGCATGAGGTTCATTGCATGTTGAAGTAATCATTATCCATTTTGGCAGATTTTGAAAGAACATATAATCCAGTGCATTACCAACTAGTCCATCAGATGGTGATGGATTGTCTTCCTGATAGCCTTCTGTGCTTAGCAGGTGATAGTCCTGTTGGATGCAGCTTGTTGACACTTCCATTGGAAATAGTAGACCCCATAAAAAACCAGTGAGCAAATAGCACACCAATGTTCAAAAGTATGCTTTAAAAGAGCACATTGTGGGTGGTAGTAAGGTACTTTTATAAAGTTTTCGTAAAGAACAACCCTGCTGGATCAGACCAAAAGTCCTTTTTTTAAAGCATCCTGCTCTTGGTGTAGAAAGTGAAAATGGGAAAACATGTTGTTTTGATGCTGCATGTGTTCGTGAAAGGGGCCTCAGGACAGCAAGACCCTTACCTGGATCCTGGCTTTGGCTTTGGTAGTGGTGTTTTTTGCTCTGAAGCTTGTTGTACTTTTATGGATGGCTAATAGAAGTGCCAGGGATGCGGGTGGCGCTGTGGGTTAAACCACAGAGCCTAGGACTTGCCGATCAGAAGGTTGGCGGTTCGAATCCCCGTGGCAGGGTGAGCTCCCGTGGCTCAGTCCCAGCTTCTGCCAACCTAGCAGTTTGAAAGCACGTCAAAGTGCAAGTAGATAAATAGGTACCCCTCCGGTGGGAAGGTAAATGGCGTTTCCCTGCGCTGCTCTGGTTCCCCAGAAGCGGCTTAGTCATGCTGGCCACATGACCCAGAAGCTGTCTGCAGACAAACGCTGGCTCCCTCAGCTTATAGAGTGAGATGATCGTCGCAACCCCAGAGTCGTCTGCGACTGGACCTAATAGTCAGGGGTTCCTTTACCCTTTAGCTAATAGAAGTGCCAGCAAACTGCACTATTCAATTTCTGAGATGCTTATCTGAGTCCCTATTAGGTACTCTTATGGTCTGTTTTTATTCTGTTTTGTTCCTCTCTTGTTCAACAGATTTGAGTAGGGGTGGGATAGAGTAAGTTTGCAGTGACAGCTGATAAAGTCAGACCTGAAATTTCAGGCTCTGTGACCCTTGGATGTCACTCTTATGAGTAAAGGATACTGTGAGGGGTTTTTTTTAGTTGGGACGCACCCTTTAATTATGAGTGCTCTCTTCTTAAATACATTCACCGTTAGTCCAGCCAAACCTCAGTAATCATACACTGAAACTGAATTAGAACACAACAAGCTAATGATGCCTACATTCTTGTCCCTTTATGTGAAGCTAACTACTCAATTAGGTGTGATTATCTACTGAGCTGCCCTGTGCTATGTTTACATTTGGAAGTTGAAAAGCCTTTTAAAGTTTTGGCAGTATGGAGAGGTGTTTGGTTAAACCTCTCAAAACTATGGGGCTCCCAGGGGGAAACTTTCAAGGAGTAAAGTGGCCTGGCAGTGTGTATTCTGTGCAGATTAGTCTGCTATAAGTGACTTGCACTGTACCAGGACCAATGTGAAATTCATTGCTACTCCTTGTGAAACCTTTGGATCTTTAGTCAAATCGGGTTAAAAACTGTTGATTATTTTCAACAAAAGACATTAGCAGCTGGCCAATGTAAATAAGGCTGCATTAAGAAAGGAGTTCTTGCTTAAGCATCTTGAGAGTATTTTCATGGCCCACGTTTGGACCAATCACAAGTACCTCTATATAGGAACATTACATGGAGGAAACAATGTTTCATGGACATGTTTGCAACAGGATCCTAGACTTGTGTCCTGTGCACTGATTCATCAGCAGAAAACTGCAATAGATGACTAATCTTTCTCATCTGCTTTCTCATATGATTCCTTTAAAAGGTCTGTTTGTGAGCTCAGAGCATTATGTTACACAAGGGCCCTAAGGCAAGTCTACCACACTATGGGAAACTCCCAGTGTAACTTCGTTGTAGTCCTGGCTGTAGGAAATTCCCAAGTCAAGCGGAAAAACCTTAGGACTAGAGTTGGTTGGGTAAAGAACAGCAACTCCAGATGAGAATGGCAAGTCTGAGTAAAGCGTGCAAAGGTGATGGGAGGTTACGGTATTTCTCTTGTGAAAAATAGCCAAAAAAACCCCACACCCAACCCATGTGATATAGAGGATTTGGTGCATGGAAACTTGAAAGTTCAAATCCCCACTTGGATATAAAACTTGCAGAACCATAAAACTAGTAATTGGACCGCTTTTCAAGTCTAATTCACTTCAATGTGTTGTTCTGAAAAGTTCTGAAAATAAAATGGAAATCTAAGGAAATGCACACATGCTCTTGAAAGAAAGGTACATCTACAAATGTAATTAATCAATCTCTTCCGGTGTTCCTCCCTTTGAAGAGTTCATATATTCTGAACAAGATCCCCATTCATGGGACTGACTGCTAAGCTGCAGGCTAGACTTAAAAAATAAATAAAAACTTTGGCATAAATGAAGGATCAATAAACACTTGTCCCTCTTTTTTAAAGCACCCCAACACTGATTGTGCACTGATGCTTGGCGTAATAATAATAATAATAATAATAATAATAATAATAATAGGTACATGCACCACTTTTAATTTATAGTGCATTTTTTCAGATTGTATGAATAAATTATACATTTTTCTGGAAAAAAATGTTACATTAGTTTTAGTGCTGATTGAGAGTGAGCAAATTAGTGCAGCTGCCCTCTGGTTTAAGAGTTTCCTACATACAGTATTTTACTGATTTTGGACAGAAAACTGTGGCTTGAATTTACGTTCAAAAACACAAAAATGGGAAGAGGGGAGAGAAGGAGACAATTTATTCAAGATTTGCTGGAGTACTATGAGGATAAACCCAGATAATAGCTTATTTGCTTGAACACTGCTGCTTCAATACTTCAAAAATTGTATATGGATCTTCTGTAGGCAGTTTACTTTTTTTGTTTTTAATTTTAAAGAGATGGCAAAACAAATGTTCTCCTGTGTAATATGTTACACATCGGTATGTTATGTATTGTCCTAGTAAGATTTATGTTCTCTCTTGTTCATTACAATTCCTCTAGCCTTTCTTGCAAGCCCTAGTTTTTTCTTTTAATGAGCATTCACACAGTCAGACAGTGGGGCGGGGGGAGGTGGGGGGGTGAACATAGTGCATTGATTTTGATTGCAGCATTATTCTACACTCGACTTATATAAAATAAAGAAGTCCATTGTATAGAGCACAGTAAGGGATGGGAGGAGAGAATCATTTTTCCCCTGTAATTGGGCAGCAACTATAAAAGCTTGAATCACTTGTAATAATAGAGACTGCAGTGCATGGTGGATTTTTAAAAAAAATTAGGGTTGGTTTTTTTAGTGTGAAGCAGGGGAAGGATAATTAAAAAACTGGATATGGGTAGGACCAAGTGAGTTTGTGCACTTGATTTTGCTTGTAATATATCTGAATTATAAGATCTATAGCTGAATATTGCTATTCTATGGCCTATAGATGTCATACATGACAATCTTTTACATTCATTTTGTCTCGTGCAGATAATATAACTGTACCAGGAAGCCATGGAGAATTGCGGTTTCCATAAAATCTGAGATGTCTGCCTGTGACAGTCTACATACAGTACTCCTTCCTGAAGAGAATCGTTTCTTGGCAATTTAGTAAAATTTGACATGGTTTCAAGTGCTGCAGAACTGTGAAAAGGGAGAAATAGGTTGCTTTGAGATGAATCTTTGGGCTAGTGGTGGGGTAGGGAGAGGAGGGTATATCTAAGCTACTTTATGAGTTATGCATTTAGTAAACCGTAAAAAATGGAAACAGGCAAATTTTTGCAGAGCAAAAATAAATACACCATAATGACTTTGCTTCCCTTAATCAAATGTATGTGTAATGAAATCAATCCAACTTGTGTTCTGTGTTAAGCACTGGTTTGAGGTATCTGTTGGCTGCCACCTGCTTTATTTAATACAGGCAACAACCATTTTGCATGGGGGTTGTGTTCCTGAGCCCTGCATGCATCAGCAGAGCGTGTAAAAGCCTGCTCCTCCCAGTTCCACACCCTCCCTGCTCTGTCCCACCCCCATTATGCTCCCTTTCACTGCTGTTTAGAATATTGCTTGTGTTGTAAGACTTCCAGGTACTACAGTGATACCTCGGGTTACATA